CTTGATGTCAGTGACCATTTGTTGGGCTTCGTTCTCGGTGAGATCCTTGGGTTTGACAGGTTCTGATGCCGTTTGCTTGGCAGCCAAACGGATCTCTGCGACCATTCGTTCCATTTCGTCGCGGGTGATGGTTGCGGATCCAGAAGTCGCTGAATCGTTACCAGTATCGCCGTCTTCTGACATTCTTTGGAGCTCCCCAATCATTCGCTGGACTGAATCTTCCGTTACACTTTTTGTGACGGTAGACGAGTCACCAGCATCCGTAATGTCATCATCCACCCCATCGAACTCATATTCGATCATTTCTTCGACAAAGGACACAGTGTGGGATCTGCTGGACGCATACTGCACTGCATGGGAATGTAGTCCCTGGTGTAGTGCTTGACTACACGTTCCATTGGCATGTGTTTGTTGATTACGATTGTTTGTTGTAGAGGCTCGATTGGTTGCTTTGATGATCGTCTCTTGGACTTTTCCTTTTTTGTTCTCTTCTTCGCCTCCTTGGCCAGACTTTTCTCCTCGACGTCTTCCTTTGCGTTTTCTGCTGCCAATCGCATTCAAGGCTTGCGAAGTGATAGGTTCGGATGAAATCGATGCAAGCATTTCCTCTTCTAGATCAGTATCCTCAGCCATTTTGTAGATCTCGTCAATCATACGCTGTGCTTCTTGATCAGTGACTGGTGTTGGCTCAGAGTTTTCATCTACCGATTCTGCTGTGGAAGAGACGATTTCGATGAAGACGTTTTCATAGCCTGGGAGTGCCTGGAGCGCCTGAAGACCAGGAGAACTATCGTGAGCCTTTTGAAGCTCTTGTTCGAAGGCACTCAGAGTTTCCTCTTGTCTTGGTTCCACGTCTTTAATCTTGACTACTGGCTCGGGATGGTTATCCTGTGCCACTTTCTGGGTATCTTCTGCAGGAATTGCAGAAGGCGTAGTTTCCATTTCCGGTTGAGCCATCTCGGTTTGACCAGTATCATTTTTCTTTGGCTCGGGACTGAATCTAATTCTGCTGGGGCTTCCATAGGATGATTCAAGTTGTCGTCTGGAACGGACATGGTGTCGTTTGTCTTTGATTAATCAGTGTTGGCTTCATCCTCCGTTGGCTCGGCGGACTTGTCGGCTACGTTTTCCAACGACTCGGCAACTCCTTCCTAATTTGATTGTTCAAAAGCAAGCGCTTCTTTGTCAAAAGGTGGCACGGTATGGTTCAAGCCAACCTTTGAACTTTGAGCCGAAGACAGCTGGTCGAGTGATGATTCGTTTCCAAAGGGAGAAGTACGGACCCAGCGAACACTGTCAGCATCACTTTCCAGAGAAGGAGCCAAGCTTGTGTCGACACTTTGCATATCCGGTTCTTCCCCTTGCATGGAACTTAAAAAATGGCATCCTTCCTGCTACTACTGCTGCTGCTGCTGCTGCTGCGTTCACATTGCTCCTATCTGTTGAGACTATACCACTGAAATTGATCGGACTTGGTGTTGCGGAGCAATGCTGTTGTGACGGTCGTTCGGCCGTCGTCAGTATGATGAAAGGAATCCAATGATTGATTCGTTCTCCTACACGTTAGACAATTCGAAGTTGAAATAAAAAGACTTCTCGTTGTTTTGCGATGATGATGACGGAAGATACCTTTAACGAACAGCCGTGTCCGTTTGCTTACAATTGCAGTATGCTGCCTACCTGGTACCAGGTACGAGTATGTAGGAAGAAGATTTTACCACAACTACTCTATAATAACAATATTGGCATCTGACTTGCTCTCCAATACAATGTAATACTAAAATTTATCCTACAACTTGTGCTTCCGCTCGACCACTTTAGTATCCTCCAAATTGGAGGCATAGTCAATAATCCGATCACCAACTTCGGCTTCTTCTTTATCGTTGACGAAGCGATCTGCGTCGGACACACCATCACCAGCACCACCATTTACAGCATAGTAAGCTGTTTCGTTTTGGACTCGTTTCATCATATTTTTCAAGCCCCCAAGCTGTTTCGTGAGTTCTTCCTTCTCTGCAGCAGCTTGTCGTGACAAGACATCGAGGAGCTCGTCGTCCTTGTTTGCAATGCGTGTCTTGTAGGCCAAATGCTTTTTGGCATTGGTCGAATTCAATCTTTCAAGTGTATTCTCCATCTTTATCGTATGATCCAGCATGTTGTGAATGTAATTCAAATGATCGACCAGCAAGTGACCATTCTTCTCGTAATGATCCTGCTCCTCCTCCTGCTCCTTCTCTTTGGGCATTTGTTCCCTGGCGGCTGACCAGTAGGACGAGGACGCTCCTACTACAGAACAACAACTCGCCGGGGAAACAACGATGGTCTTGCGGAAGCTTGTGACGACTGCTTGTCTGGATAATACTTGTTGGAATTGTGGAATAGGGTTCATCTTGTTTGGAGTTTTGAACGGTTTGACCTTTACATTTGATTTGTGATGATGTCAAGATCAGAACCGCAAGCTTGAAAGCGGGCTTCGGATTTCAGGTGGTGTCGGAAAATGGACATGCTATTTAGCGTTTGTCTTTTTTTAACCCATCCACGTTTTTGGACTCGGCCCTGATCATATTAGGGCCGACCTCATTTAAAGTTTTTTGCTTGAACGACAAATTTCCTACCGTGCGCGCGTAGAACCATAAAACTACAATCACCAAAACTTAACTCAAATGTAATACACACGTTTCCAGGAATTCATGAAGATATCAAAGGGTTAAGCTGAAAACTTAGAAATAGAGCAAATGAACCCTTCCAAATCTAATGGAAAAATCAGAATTAGTTT